ATGACCGTGTGTTGAAAGTAAAAAACACGTGGGGCGGCTGACAAGGGAATTCAATGGGGCTGCTAATTTTTCAAAGTTAGGCAGCCCATTTTTTTTAATTTAAGCAATGGTTAATTACATTTTAGTCATTGCACTTTAGGGTATTTTCAAAGATTAGTCCCTAAGCTTCAACTATAAATACCCTAGCTCATTTAGCTTCCAAATAATACCAAAATCCCAAATCATTTCTTTCTCCCAATACTAGAGAGATTTCTTGTGAGTAGTGAATGTTTTGTAAACATCTGTAAATTTTCTCTCTTAGTAAAAGATCTGCAGCAATCCGGAGACGTAGGCACAATTGGCTGAACTCTGTTATCAATTTTTCTGGTATTATTTTTCCGCTTTTATTTCGCATTCTCACTAATCTGTTTATAGGGAAATTACTCGTTCTCGGTTTATTTCAAAACAACTGGTATCAGAGCTTTTGATTGTGAATTTTGTCAATTTTTTGCAAGGTTATTGTTCATTACTATTCACATGAATAGTGAATTTCGTGAATAGTGAAAAATTTATCGACGATACGAATTTGTCGATGGGGGTATTCTAATACATGATGGTTCTCAAGAATTGTCAGAAACGATCCAAACGAAGTCAGATTCGAGTGGGAGCGATGGCTGTAGATCAAGGGAATGTGAAAATTGAAAAGTTCGATGGTGCGGACTTTGGCTTTTGGAAGATGCAGATTGAAGATTTTTTGTACCATAAAAATCTATATCAACATCTCTCAGGAAAGCAACCAGAGGGCATGAAGAATGAAAACTGGGCTCTTCTCGACAGACAAGCCCTCGGAGTTATCCGACTGACGTTGTCCAGAAATGTTTCTTTCAACATAGCAAAGGAAAATACCACGACGTGTCTTATGGAGGCTCTCTTCAGTATGTATGAGAAGTCATCGGCCTCAAACAAAGTTCATTTGATGAGGCGATTATTCAATTTGCGGATGACGAAAGGGGCATCGGTGGCACAACACCTAAATGAACTCAACACAATCACAACCCAGTTGAGTTCAGTGGAAATTGAATTCGATGATGAAGTTCGAGCTTTAATTCTCTTATCATCTCTACCAGAGAGTTGGAATGCTATTGTTACAGCAGTCAACAGCTCGTCGGGAAACAACAAATTAAAATTCGACGATGTTTGGGATCTGGTATTGAGTGAAGAAATTCGACGGAGAGAATCGGGTGAAGCATCAACCTCCTCAGCCTTGCACACGGAGTCTGGAGGGAGAACTTCAGAAAGAAATTCAAATCGTGGCAGATCCAAATCCAGAACGGGAAAGAAATATTTTACATGTTATAACTGCGGCAAGAAGGGTCACTTTAAAAGAGATTATCGAGTACCGAAAAAAAATATCGGCGTACAGGAATCTGCCAACGTGACAGAGGAGACAGGTGATGTCATGATTCTAAGCATCAACAGTGCGATTAAATCATGGATCTTGGATTTAGGGGCATCTTTCTACTCCACCCCATGCCGAGAAATCATGGAGAACTATGTTAGTGGTGATTTTGGGAAGGTTCATCTAGCTTATGATGAAACCTTGAAGATCGTCGGAAAATGAGACATCCGATTAAAGCTGTCAAACCAGACCACCTGGAAGCTGAAAGGAGTGAGACATATTCCCGGCCTCAAAAGAAATTTGATTTCTGTTGGACAGCTTGATGGAGAAGCTTGATGGAGAAGGTTATAGTACAACCTTTTCAGGCTGTGAATGGAAGATTACCAAAGGAGAACTCGTTATTGCTCGTGGTAAGAAGACTGATACTCTCTATGTAACCTCAAACTTAGAGAATACCATTGTTACAGCAGATGTTGATGGAAAATCAAACTTATGGCACCAGAGGCTTGGCCATATGAGCGAGAAAGGGATGAAGACACTTTTATCAAAAGGGAAGCTACCGGATCTAAAGAATGTAGATGTCAGACTATACGAGGATTGCATCTTTGGCAAATAAAAGAAAGTTAGTTTTGCAAAGAATGGTAAGACACCCAAGGCAGAAAAGTTAGAGTTGGTTTATACTGATGTATGGGGACCATCTCCAGTTCCATCTCTTGCAGGCTCATTATATTATGTCACCTTCATCGATGATTCTACGAGGAAGGTGTGGGTTTATTTTCTGAAGAAGAAATCAGAAGTCTTTGATACCTTCAGAAAATGGAAGGCCATGGTGGAAAATGAGACTGGTTTGAAAGTCAAGTGGTTAAGGTCTGACAATGGAGGAGAGTACAAAAACAGAAGATTCAGAGATTTTTACGCAAACAATGGGATCAAGATGGAGACAACAGTTTCCATGACACCGCAGCAGAATGGCGTAGCAGAGTGCATGAACAGAACTCTGAATGAACGCGCCAAAAGCATAAGGATACATGTCGGATTGCCCAAATTTCTATGGGCTGAAGCTATCAACACTGCAGCTTACCTGATCAGCCGTGGGCCCTCAGTTCCTTTGGATGGCAGAATACCAGAGGAAGTTTGGAGCAAGAAAGAAATAAACCTTTCACACTTAAGAGTGTTTGGTTGTATTTCTTATGTACACATAGACTCTGCTGAAAGAAGTAAACTTGATGCCAAGTCCAACAAATGTGTCTTTGTTGGTTATGGTGGTGATGAGTTCGGTTACCGATTTTGGGACTACGAAAATCAAAAGATCATCAGAAGCAGAGATTTCATTTTCAATGAGAATATGATGTACAAAGACAGATCAACTGTAGAATCAAATAGCTCCAATACTGAAGCTGAAACAAAGGAATTTGCTGAGTTCGAGGAGATTTCTAGAAATGATGTTCAGATCAATCCTGAAGCAGTTCAAGAAGAACCAAGCACACCAAAACTGAGACGTTCCTCCAGAATTCCTAAACCAACCCAACGGTATTCTCCTTCTTTGCACTACTTGTTGCTGACTGACAATGGTGAACCAGAATGCTATGATGAATCATTACAAGTGTAGGATTCAGTCAAGTGAGAGTTTTACATGAAAGATGATATGGACTCACTTATGTCAAATCAGGCGTGGGAATTAGCTGAATTACCACCAGGAAAGAAAGCGCTCCATAACAAGTGGATTTACAGGATCAAAAAAGAGCGCGATGGGAGCAAACGCTACAAAGCAAGATTGGTTATCAAAGGTTTTCAGCAAAAAGAAGATATTGACTACAATGAAATTTTCTCTCCAATCGTAAAATGTCTACAATCAGACTGGTGTTGAAAATTGTAGCTGCAGAGAATTTACATCTTGAGCAGTTAGATGTGAAGACAGCTTTCCTTCATGGTGATTTGGAGGAAGAAATCTATATGAAGTAGCCAGAAGGCTTCATAGAGACAGGCAAGAAAAACCTGGTATACAGGTTAAAGAAGAGCTTGTATGGTTTAAAACAAGCTCCTAGACAGTGGTACAAGAAGTTCGATAGCTTCATGAGTAGCAGTGGTTTTACCAGATACCAAGCAGATCATTGTTTCTACATCAAGAGGTTCGACAACAACTTCATTATTTTATTATTGTATGTTGATGACATGCTCGTTGTAGGCTCAGACATGCAAGGGATTATAAACTTGAAGCAAAAATTGTCGAAGCAGTTTGCTATAAAGGATCTGGGCGCTGCAAAGCATATTCTTGGGATGAGGATTAAGAGAGACACAAAGTCGGGGACTTTGATGTTATCACAAGCTGAGTACATCAAGAAAGTACTCTCCAGGTTCAACATGCAAGATGCTAAACCAGTAAGTACACCTTTAGGTGTTCATTTTAGAATCTCTAAAGAACAGTCACCAAAGACGGAGAAAGAATGTGCACACATGGTGAAGGTGTCGTATGCCTCAGCAATTGGAAGTCTAATGTATGTCATGGTTTGTACCAGACCAGATATTGCTCATGCAGTGGGAGCTGTTAGCAGGTACATGAATAATCCAAGCAAGATACACTGGGAAGCTGTCAAATGGATCCTCATATATCTGTGAGGTACTACAAATAAAGCACTTTATTTCAAAGGTTGAGATACGATACTGACAGGCTATGTAGATGTTGACTTAGCCGAAAATGTTGACATCAGAAGAAGCACTATAGGGTATGTCTATATTCTATGAGGTACTGCAGTGAGTTGGGTTTCTCAACTACAGAAGATTGTAGCTCTCTCCACAACTGAAGCAGAATATATCGCTGTTACGGAAACTAGCAAGGAGATGGTCTGGCTCCAAAGTTTCTTGGAAGAGTTAGGCAAGAAACAAGAAAACAATGTTTTGTATTGCGACAGTCAAAGTGCTATTCATCTAGCAAAGAATCCGTCTTTTCATTCCAGGACAAAGCACATACAATTGCGATATCATTTTATCCGGTCTCTTCTGGAAGATGGGATTTTAAAACTGGAAAATATTAATGGAACTCAAAATCCAACAGACATGTTGACAAAGACGGTGACTACGGACAAACTGAAGTTGAGTTCATATTCAGTTGGCATGCTAGAATAATAAGACCATAAATGTTGCTGCATTGATCGAGGTGTGAAGACAGATTAAAATCAGTATTCAAGTGGGAGATTATTGAAACTAAAAAACACGTGGGGCGGCTGACAAGGGAATTTAATGGGGCTGTTAATTTTTCAAAGTTAGGCAGCCCATTTTTTTTTAATTTAAGCAATGGTTAATTACATTTTAGTCATTGCACTTTAGGGTATTTTCAAAGATTAGTCTCTAAGCTTCAACTATAAATAACCTAGCTCATTTAGCTTCAAAATCATCCCAAAATCTCAAATCATTTCTTTCTCCTAATACTAGAGAGTTTTCTTGTGAGTAGTGAGTGTTTTGTAAACATCTGTAAATTTTCTCTCTTAGTAAAGATCTGCAGCAGTCCGGAGACGTAAGCACAATTGGTTGAACTCCGTTATCAAATTTTCGGGTATTATTTTTCCGTTTTTATTTCGCATTCTCACTAATCTAGTTATAGGAAAATTACTCGTTCTCGGTTTATTTCCCAACACCGTGCTCTTCTTAGAGTAAGTACAGAGTAAGTACCAAGTAAACATTCCTGTATCGGTTTTCTTCATGGTTTGGAGCTAAAACTGTCGAGGTTTGTTTGGACAGGTTGAGCAGGTGGTGAAGGAACAAAATATGTTGTATGTTTTTGGTATCCTGGAAGGGTATTGTAATCTCCTGATTGAAAGAGTCCATCTCATTGAGCAAGAAAAGTAGGCTTCTTTCATAATATCATTTCCTCTTCTTTTTCTTCAGTTTTTGTTGATGACCCTCAGTTTTATATTTGATTTGCAGAGATTGTCCCGATGAGCTCAAGGAGGCAATCTCTGGCTGGCTCTTCGCATCGTCAAGGTGTGGAGATTTTCCCGAGCTTCAAGAGATACGCGCGATCTTCGTGTCTCGCTACGGCAATGAATTCACTGCGTAACAATTGTGGAGTGAACACTATGGTAAATCTTTGTTTTGATCTGTTTAGTTATTAGAAAAATGAACCATGTAATGAAGTGTTCCTATGTTTATTAACAATGTTTGGTTGAGTTGTGCAGTATGGTGTATAACATAATCATTGTGCCCCACAGATTATACAAAAACTCTCAACCAGACAACCGGACTTGCAGAGCAGAAGGAATCTGCTCAACGAAATTGCGGTCGAGAATGGAATCGCCTTACAACCCCATGAAACCTCTGTTTCCGCTACTGATGTGAGCAATTTACTACTGATGCCGCTGAAGCTGCGTTTGAGTCAGCTACACATGCAGCAGCCGTGGCAAGAGCAGCCGTGGAACTCTCCCAGTCTGATTTCCATGATTCTGATGATCACAACAGTCCTGATAATCAAAGAAATAAAGTGTTTGACATTCATGAACCTAGTAGTTCTAAAGGTAAAGAACCTCATCAGGGCCGTCAAGCAGAGGAGTCGAACCAGGGTAAGATGACCTGAGAAATCAAGATCTCGAGTCCTTCAAGTAAAGAATCATCAGAAGGAAACCTGGACATGAGAACAATGTCCTTGGATGAAGTGGACCCAATCAAGCTATTGGAAAAGGATGTAGTTATTCATGACAGTGATGATGATAACCGTGATTTCTATGATCCCAGTTTTGATATGAACACAAGGGAGTTCAAAGGCAAGGACGAAGAGCACTCTGAAAATACCTGACTGATGTTTCAGAACTCATCTGATAATCAAGTCCCCACAACACTTCATGCTGGCCTGAAGCTTGAGACAGGACCTGAAAACCCCTCGGAACATGTCATTCGAAACAAGGGTCCATTTTCTGTGAGGACTAGACAATTGCGTGGATACTGAGGAGCATCAGCATACTAAATTCATTCTTAAGTTTTGGCGAGTTGCATTACATCAGACGTGTCAATAAGTATGTCTTTTTAATTTTGCTTCTCAATATGTTTCAATAATCATTCCAACAAAAAAAAACTTAAAAACAAGCTTACATCTCATGAGAATTAACAAAAACATTTCAGAAAACTAAAACAAGGACAACAACAATTCAGCACAGTTTGTTTTCCTACAAAAACCACCAACAATTCTCAAATTCAGTTGATTAACCAAAGCCATTCAGCACTGCAAATTAAAAAGAAAAGAAAAAAGAATGAATAAGAAGATTACATATTCTAGCTCTGGGAAAGGTTGCCACCACTTTGCTGCCAGAGATTGATGATATCAGTGGCCTGATTGAGAAGAATAATCATCTTCTTCTGAGAAATCCAGGGCTTGCTTTCAAGAGTGGCCTTGAGCTCTTCCCAGGCATCTTTCCTAGGCCAAAAGAAATAGGGACTGAGAGGAACAGTGCCATCGCCAGGTATGACTTGATCTAGAGCCAGCCCGATGTTCTTCTCCATCCATATGAATTTCAGAACCAGCCTGGGTTTCGCAACTTGCTTCACCGCCACCTCAGACTTCTGAGGAGCTGTGATGGGTGGTGCCTCGGTGTCTGAGTATGTTTCAGCCGTGAGTGCTGCTGAGGCAGTTAGTCTTCCGGTGGGTGCACTTCTTCTCTTCAAACTGGGGCTTGCCTTGAAGCAAATGGTGGTGAAGGAGGATCTATGCTGACCAAAATAATGCAAAGGGAAAGTAGTTGATAGAGTTGCCATGGACAACATTTTGTCTTGCAGGATGAGAGGGAGGGAGAGAGTTTTGTCTTAAAAGTTACTCGAGTAGAGCCGATAGGATAAGGTATAAGGGGATATAGTACTGGAATAGACTCCGAGGACATTAGGGTCTTTTCTCAAGACGGGCAATTAATCTTTCTGTTCAAAAAGATTGTAAGGAAAATAAACATTTGCCTAAAGTATAAATGTTCGGGCATCTTTATTTTAATTTTATTAATTTTAGGGTAAATTACGTATTTAGTACCTAAACTATTAGTTTTAATCTATTTTAATATCTAAACTTTTAATTTGTTTAAAATTATATCTAACATCCAGTTTTTATTTGATTTTAGTACTTCACCGTTAAAAACCATACGGGTAATTTGCAAGTGGAACTTTTTTTATGGGTAAATTACATCATTCATCACTCAACTATCTTCTTACTCCTATTTTGGTCACTAAAGTTTAAACTTTTTAATTTAATCACTTAACTTTCAAATTACTCCTAATTTAATCACTCTAACTCTCAATTTTATTTTATTTTTATTTTTAATAATATATTAATAAACTAATAAAAGTGTCATGTCACAAAAATTATTAATAAAAATAAATTATTTTTTATTAATATGGGGTAAGTACAAAGCAATATTAGTTCTAAGATAACTCTCAAATATTTGACATTAAACGCTCTTGCCACTGACATTTATAGTGCTCGAACCCGAGATCTCAAGGAATAACAACAATTCATTTAGCACCGAGGTCACTTAGTTCTAATAAAATAAATTAGAGTGATTAAAATAAAAGAAATTCGAAAGTTGAATAGTTAAATTGAAAATTTTTAAACTTGAGTATCAAAATAGGTGAGAAGATAGTTGAGTGATGAATGATGTAATTTACTCATAAAAATGAAACGCCGTTAAATTTTTAACAGCGAGATATTAAAATAAAATAAAAACTAAATGTTATGCATGATTTAAAAAAAATTAAAAGTTTAGATACTAACCGTATAATTTACCCCAAACTTTATCATCATTTTTTAAAATATAATATTTTAATTATTTATATCATAAAAACGTCAACGAATGAAATGTATTTTTTTAATGGAGAGGAGGGCTAGAGACTAAGAAAAGTGGGACCGTGAAGGTCCCTATGCATGCAGTCTAGCACATGAGGGGGAGGAGTTGAGATGAAGACAGTAGAGCCGTCGAGTTTAGAAGCCATCTTTACTATGAAATCAACAGTGAAATTAGCTTTAGGATAGATAAGGTTGAAGTCTACCATCCAAGGTTTGGTTGTCATGCTAGCAATTGCTCTCACCATGGAAATCGAACTAGAGTGGGAGTCACTAGAGGAGATGAGTTTGTAGGCTACAACGCAATCGGTTTGGCATTGAACGCGTTCAAAGTCAAGATCCCAAGCAATGTTGAGGCCAACAATGATGTCCTAGAGCTCCGCGTGGAGAGGGTGAGAGACTCCAAAGTATTTTTGGAAACCAACAAGCCTATCATCGTCTGAATTGCGACGAAGGTCATCGACAACACAATGGTTGTTTAGGGGATTGGGGGCATCATATGTCTAAATTGCGAAGAAATGTAATTAATTTTTTAAATGGGTGATAAAATATAGATTATTAAAAAAATAGTTCTAAACTTAATTTTATGATTTAAACTGGGATTAAATTACTCAAATAACACTAACAAAAATTTATTTATAAAAAATTCAAAATAACACATTTTTTTAATAATATAGGGTAAATACAAGACAATATATGTTCGAAAATAACTCTCAATCTTTCAACATTGAACTCTCACACCCCCGACATCTATAGTGTTGGAACTCGAGTCCTCCGACATAACAACAATTTCTTTACCATGAAGATCAATTGGTTTGTGCAAAATAGCACATATGGTTAATTATTTACTAAAATAATATTGTTTATATCATATAAGAGAAATGTATGTCACGTATCATATTTTATTGAAAAATATTTTTATTGAATATAAAAACCATTTTTAATCAATACATCTTTCTATTCCATAATGATAATATAAGTCACGTTAATAGTCATTAGATTTTGGAATCAAACCCTAGTACATGTTATTTTTGTTATTTTTTTTCTAGTTATATGTATTGTTAATTAAATATATTTTTCTTAACAAGTGTGCTTTATATATATATATATCTATATATATATATATATATATATAACTAAGTGTGAATTACACTAGAAATCCCTAAAGTTTTAGGGTACTTTTAGCTGGGTCACTACATTTTTAAAACTTGTATTAAAATTACAAAACTTTTAATTAGCATTATTATGATTACTATCAACTGTAGTAACATGTCACATGTCATTTTTCTAATAAATTAACTCTCCAATAAGATGTACCCATGTCATTTACATATTTATATGTCGTTCATTACAGAGAAGGGCACATATTCACAATCAACATTAGACCGTGGAAAACATTTGATCGACCTTAAAGGTTTGAAAAATAACCGAAGATCAGAATTGGCTTCTCTTGGCAGGTAATATAGTACATTGGACTCACTATCCTCTGCTCAGCAGTGTTAGAAGTATGTGACAACTTCATATTGGATTTCATACATCAACTTATTCAAGTAGTTAGAGATGTAGCTAGACAAGCTTCAGTGTCATATGGAATCATGATGTTCTCCTCACTAGTTATTTCATGCTATGGATCTATTTACCAAAATAATAATATAATAACCTGAACCCATTCTTGATCCAACCATTTGTTGTTGATGTGACTGCATCTGGGAGAGTTGCTATTGCTTGCTGTTGCTACTGCTGCTGCAGCTGAGAGAGTTGTTGATGCTGATGCCGGTTTGATGTTGTGGTTTAAAGAATACCATATCCTGAATTTCACAAAGATCTTGGTTCAAATAAAATGAAAAGGTCTAGCTAAGTGGACTGGCAATGACAGGAAATTTTCCAATTCCATTTGATGCCTTCTTTTAATTTTGTAGCAAAACTCAAGTAATAATTTTGGAAAAGTAAACACTAAAATTCTAACTTATTTTTGGGTAAATTACATGTTTAGTATACCAACTATCACTTTTGTTCCATTTTGATCACCCAATTATATTTTTGTTTCAAAATCATAACTAACGTTATAGTTTTGGTTACTCCCGTTAAAAAATTAATGGTGATGTTGATGTGTCACCATAAGGCCACTTCATTGAAAAAATGTCATGTCAACAGTTCTGTCAATTTTTTAATGGTGGATGACCAAAATGAAACAAAAAAAATGTTAGGTATGGTTTTGAAGAAAAAAATAGTTGGGTGACCAAAACTAAATAAAAAATAGTTGGGTACGAAAGTGTAGTTTACCCTTTTTCTTTAGGAAAACTAGAACTAATGATGATGTTAGGATTAGTAATTTATTAATCAAATCGAGGATAAGATCTAACCAAGTTTGACTTAGAACTCCTATCTGACTCCTTGTGCAAGCCGCATCATGGCTACCCTCCCCCTATCACTTTGAATCATAAGGAGTACCTTGCGGTTGGCTGACCTTAGCTTCACAAGGATAATATTCTAACTCACTGGCCTTTGGAATCTATGCTCCTTGATAGGATCGTTAGTTAGGTTCACTACTCTCTTGACATGCTACCAAAACCACTCTCTTATCTCTTGTTCACCAGAAATAGGCCACTGAGGGATAGGAAACAAGGGGAATGAGGCAAGAAATTTAATTTAAATCAAAAGACTTTCCGGTTTACTAATAACTTTGTCTTGTATAAACAATACTTATTTTCTGTCTCTTACCGAAAGCTAGATGCTTTGGCTTTATTTCTTTCACTCCAAAGGTGGCAGGAAACTACAATAAAATCGAGTCTTTGGTCCAAAATAGAATAAACACGAGTAACTGGATGAAGATGTGAAATAAAATGACTCTCCTCTAGCTGTGGAGATTGCAGAGGTTAATAAATTGACACAACCCTAATGACGATCCAAGGCTCTCGTGCTAAAGGACATTCAATAACAGAATAAAGTTCTAAAGGTAAGACTCCATCTCTTCCAGAGACTAGAGCCAGTAAAATGTCTTTTGAGAAGCCACTAGAAGAAATGACCAAACATCTTAGGCCTCTATACATTAGAGCTTACATCAATGGAAAGTCGATGTCTAGAGTCTTGGTGGACAATATTTTCATAGCGAATATACTTCCACTCAAAATGGTAAGGAGGATGTCCAAGTTCGAGCAAGATTTAATCCCTTCTGAAGTCTCAGTTACCAGCTTTAATGATGGCGTGTCTAAAAAAGGGCTCATTTTGGTGGATATGATAATGGGTAAGACCACTGAATTCAATGCATTCCTTGTGGTAGATGGAACAACGGGGCCTATCTTTTGACCAAATGCAGTGGTGGTCCTTATGAGTATTTCCTTCCCATGTTAACAAGAGAGGAATAGAGGTTTTTTTGCAAGAAAGTGAGGGTATCTTATGGGAGATGATGTCTCAAATAAGGTTCACTAACACTAGAATTTCTTTAGGGTGAAGTTGTTAGCGTACAAGTGTTGCGCTAAAGAAGTTGCCATCATGAGCGGCCTGGGGTTAAAATACCTCACATCGGAAATGAAAGCAACAGAGAAGTTGATGTACTTGAAGAATAAAGACTCTGCCAAGTACAATTCTAACAAGAATGCCTAAGGAAAAGGGGGTCGACTCTCTCTTCAATGGATTGGAGAAAGTTGTTTGGGAGTTCCTCTGGCCAAGCCCTAAATTTTTATCCTCCGATTATCAAAAATGGAATTCCCACGATTTCCCCTCCCTCAGAGATTCTCGAAGCTGGCATTTCAGAATGGAAGCTCTCCCTTGTGGGTCAATTCTTAGGTCCGGCTCCAAATTTCCTGACAATGCAACAAATCATTGAAAATAAATGGAGAAAGGCTCTGCACGGTTATCATCTACAGGTCAGTATAGCTGGATCAAATCTTTATATTTTCTCTTTTACTTCAGAAGTTGCTAGAGACCGGGTCCTTGAAAATGGACCACTGAACAAACCTCTAATTCTGAGAAAATGGGAACCCAACCTTAAACGCCTAAATTTCAATTTATCAAAAATCCTGATTTGGGTTCATCTGCATAACGTTCCTTTAGAAATATTCTCTCAAGAAGGCTTAAGTTATATTGCCAATGGAATTGGTGTTCCAATTTCAATGGATATTGTCACAGCATCCAAAACCAGACTAGAATTCGCCAAGATCTGTGTTGAAATTAGTATTAACGATGAATTCCCAAAACATATTGACGTTGTTCTTCAAGATGGCCACACCTCTACTATTTTTGTTGAGATCCCTTGAATGCCACCAAGATATAGGAAATGTAAGACATTCGACCACAATGACAAAAGTTGTATGGTAACATCCAATCTCAATCAAACTTCAACCCAAATTTGGAAGAAAAATGAGGAATCAAGCTCAACAGCCAATATTAGTGCACTAGAGAAACAACAAGTGTAACATCCTCAATACGGGTTAGTGACCCAATTGTAAAGTTTCAGAATTTGGTGACTAAAGTATAAGAATGAAATAGTTTAATGATTATTGGATGTATATGATGAAGGTTAATTAGTAATTATTAAAGGAAATTAAGGGTTAAATGGTCATTTGACCAGAAAGATTTTTATATTTCTTTTTAAGGTAATATAAACGTGGGAATTTGGAGAAACATCCAGAGTTCTCTTCTCCTTTCTTCTTCTTCATACGTGGGAGAGCAAGGCAAAGGTAAGTTTAATTTCAGTTGGTTAATTCTTGAGTTTTAAGCTTAGTTTTGATTCTTTGGGTATTAAATAAGCTTAAGGAAAGCTTATATGGGATTTAAACAATAAGATAAAGGAATTATGAAGGAATTTGCAATATGAGTTTTAAGATGAAATTTTGATATGGTATGGTTGTTGAAGTTTTAGGGATGAATTTGACTTGTCATCAATCTAATTAAGAAGTATGAAGTGTTAGAATTGGAATTAGAACACATTGAAAATTTGGTATGATTTTTGAATCTCATATGGAAGATAGGATTTTGAGGTTTAAGATGAAATAAATGAATATAGATTGGTTTAAGTATGTGTACTAGAGTTAAGAATGAAAAGGGGATGATATATGAAGTGTTTGAGTGGAAATGAAGTAATTTTCGGGTTGAAAATATGATTTCTGGGCAAGGGGAATCGGTACCCATTCAAGGGGAACCGATACCCCTTCAAACGAACAACATTTCCAGAATGTCATTAGGGAATCGATACCCCCATAATAGGGAACCGATTCCCCCTAAAGGAAATTATGAATATGGATTTAATAAGTTCGTTTAAGTTGCTAGTATCTAATTACAAGGTGTAGGTATCTAATAATTATCTTAAAATGTATAATTATGTAGATTCAGAGCCTAAACGAGTTCCGGAATCATTGACAAGTAAGATCGATAAAAAGGGAAGATAATAGATTGGAATGGACTAGTGAGGCCAGGTGAGTGCATATTAGTATTATATGATGTTAAATGGAAATAAGACTTGCAACAAGTCTATTTCCATAGTAAAATGCATGAATTCATAAATAGAAGTATATACGTGTATGATTTATATGTTGACATGTTATTGTATATGTATTATATGGTTGATGTGAATATGTGATATGTTATGATGATATAAGAATCTCTTACAAGATATATGATATGAAAATATGATAATGAGCTATGTGAAAGAACTATGAGTTATATGGAAAATATATGCGAACAAGATATGACATCTATGTTTATATGAAACAATGCAAGGTGATATGAGCTGTGTGAGATATGAATATAAAATCATATGAGAAGTGAAAATAATTACATGAAAATAGACTACGTGATTACATGTATATGTGAAAGGAACTATTTGATACGATCTATGTGATTACATGCAACATATGATATTAGATATATGTTTACACATACATGTGGTATGTGATAGAAGAGAAGGTACATGTGATTATGAGATCAATGATTACACGTACATGTGATACGTGACTGAAAAGAAAAGATATGTGTTTATAAGAGAAAGAATATGAATAAGTAATGTGAACTGTTATAAATGATAATGCCCATGTTATGTGATATGAGAGCTAGGGGTATAGTTGGCATGCCAAGGGTCGAGGGTTTACCTATGTTCTTCGGGACATATGGACTGTTTACCTATGTTCTTCGGGACATATGGACTGTTTACCTATGTCCTTCGGGACATATGGACTGATTACCTAGGTTCTTCGGAATCTATGGACTGGTCCTTTTGGATATTGATCGAGCTGTGGTGACAGCATATGTGTGCACAACCTCAATGTACTCACATACCTTAAGTTCTCACTAGTGTACATGGGCTAATAAAGTGATTAAACAAGCATACTGAATGTGATATGTATACAATGAGTTTATAAGTGGTTTGAAATGTGTTACGTGAACCATATGATGTTGTGTGTGTATAGTGTTTGATTGAAAAGGTTAACAATAAAAGTATGTGATTACATGATAAACTGTTAATGATGAATTATGTATATGTATGTATTTACTGTAATTAATCTGATATGATTTTATATGATACGAAGAATGCATGGAATTGGTATAACATGATAGAACAGAACATGCATGTATTGATATATGTTATGAAGTGCATTATAAGTCGTTATGCCTCACTAAGTCTTCGACTTAGCGTGTGATTGTTTCACACGTAGGTTTCGAGAAGAGTAAAGAGTAATGCGGAGCAAGACAGGTCAGTTTTCCTTACCAAATGTCAGATCAGAAAATATATGTACATGTTTATAGAGTGTAGTTGGCATGTAGTCTAAAGATATAAATTGTATGAACTCTGATACATTTTGTAAACGTTTTGAATAAGTTAAATGTTATCAAAGTTTTTAAATTACTCACTATTTTATATGAATAAATGTTTGAAAAGTCAATGTGACACTTCGGACTCGTATCCGGGTTGGATACGGGTTGGGGGTGTTACATTTAATGGTATCAGAGCTAAGGTTTAGCCGATTCTCGGCATAAACCGAAGTCCAAAGTGTCATAAAAGGTGTACATGCCAACATAGATTGAAAAATTTCTGATCGGATAGTGTAAGGAATATGTTATCTTGCTAATAGAATAAGAATAGTTTAATACAGTAGAAAATCCGATCGTGATAATTTCGAGGTAAGTGAAAGGTGATATTCCTGATTGTGATAGCTATTCACCTGCCTTGGCCAGACAGGATGAAGAGCGGACACCTCAGGAAATGCCTAGTAAGATCAAAAGTTGATTTCAGAAAGCTGAAATCATATCTGAATAATGATAGAAAGTTTTCATCGTTTGGAATCGGAAACACGATATAGAGTAGTTTTGTTATTATGTGGATAAGATAGAATATGGTGAACAGGTGTCACCATAAGAAGGTTAAAAAGATCTAAGGACGTGATGAGTACCTATAGAAGAACTCAAGGATAAGTGCATCAGTGACAAGTGTATAAGATGTATAAAGTCAGAGCTTATGAGTTTGAAACGAAGTGATAGTATTGCGCATAAACAAGAGTATGTTTATGATAAGGGTTTGCAGTTAAGATGGAAAGAGTTAGCATTGGCTAACTAGAGTATGTGATAAAAATGTACTGAAATTATAAGATTTTAAGATATTGTCAGGATATGATAACCAAATCCGCAATGGATCTGGATACAGTTGCATATTTGGATCATAGTAATGTGGTATAGTAAAGGAAAAGGAAGTAAGAATTTGTATATTTAAGTAAAGCTGAGGATTGATAAGAAGAGTTTGAGAATATGTATATCGATGATCAGATTATAGGACACAGGAAGTCAGAATGTTGAGTTTGAGTAAAAGAAATTTCAGGATGTATGAGAATAGAGGTGAAATTGATAAGTTAAGTAAGCGAATGTTGAGATAATTTAGATTGGAAAGAATGTATATGATTGGTATAATAGGGTTTGTGCCCTAGATTGAACAAAAATTATTATCTAGCTATTAGAGTAAAGGTGCTAGAGTTATAAGATTGGAGGAAAGATAAAGTGGAGTTAATTGATTATGATGTGAATTTGAATATAGTTGTATATTCTGAGTAGATAGCTATGATGTAGAAACAGAGATAAGTATTTGCATGGAACCTTCAGGAAGGAAAATACAAGTATAAGAAATGATAAAAATGAAGTTATGTATAAGAAATGGGTTATCAGAGTATTGAGGATGCAATGAAGATTGGTACATAAAGATGAGTATAAGTGATAAGACAAGAGTATGTGAATATGAAAGGAAATATATGATTTATGTATAAGGAATAAGGAGTAAAGAAATGAAAGGGATTGATTTAAAAGAATCAGATACGATAAATATGGAAGTACAGAGGTTTTGATATAGAGTGATGAGATGAATGTTACTGTCAACGTGATGAGTGACATTATATGGAATTTTATAAAGGTCAAAGGAAAAATGCATAATCGAATGAGAGAAAAGACAACAATGGATTGGTATTACTGGTTATTTTTTTATATGATAAACAACAGAAGATGAATGTATAAACGAAAAAGATAGTTGGAAAACTAAAGGATTGAAAAGTAAGTTTCTGATGATGACAAGAAAGAATAAGTCAGGGAAGCAACATAAGAACATTAGAAGATATGTTCCTATTAAGATGTGCAGTGAAAATTCGAGGACGAATTTTCTTATAAGTAGGGGAGATTTGTAACATCCTCAATACCGGGTTAGTGACCCAATTGTAAAGTTTCAGAATTTGGTGACTAAAGTATAAGAATGAAATAGTTTAATGATTATTGGATGTATATGATGAAGGTTAATTAGTAATTATTAAAGGAAATTAAGGGTTAAATGGTCATTTGACCAGAAAGATTTTTTATATTTCTTTTTAAGGTAATATAAACGTGGGAATTTGGAGAAACATCCAGAGTTCTCTTCTCCTTTCTTCTTCTTCATACGTGGGAGAGCAAGGCAAAGGTAAGTTTAATTTCAGTTGGTTAATTCTTGAGTTTTAAGCTTAGTTTTGATTCTTTGGGTATTAAATAAGCTTAAGGAAAGCTTATATGGGATTTAAACAATAAGATAAAGGAATTATGAAGGAATTTGCAATATGAGTTTTAAGATGAAATTTTGATATGGTATGGTTGTTGAAGTTTTAGGGATGAATTTGACTTGTCATCAATCTAATTAAGAAGTATGAAGTGTTAGAATTGGAATTAGAACACATTGAAAATTTGGTATGATTTTTGAATCTCATATGGAAGATAGGATTTTGAGGTTTAAGATGAAATAAATGAATATAGATTGGTTTAAGTATGTGTACTAGAGTTAAGAATGAAAAGGGGATGATATATGAAGTGTTTGAGTGGAAATGAAGTAATTTTCGAGTTGAAAATATGATTTCTGGGCAAGGGGAATCGGTACCCATTCAAGGGGAACCGATACCCCTTCAAACGAACAATATTTCCAGAATGTCATTAGGGAATCGATACCCCCATAATAGGGAACCGATTCCCCCTAAAGGAAATTGTGAATATGGATTTAATAAGTTCGTTTAAGTTGCTAGTATCTAATTACAAGGTGTAGGTATCTAATAATTGTCTTAAAATGTATAATTATGTAGATTCAGAGCCTAAACGAGTTCCGGAATCATTGACAAGTAAGATCGATAAAAAGGGAAGATAAGAGATTGGAATGGACTAGTGAGGCCAGGTGAGTGTATATTAGTATTATATGATGTTAAATGGAAATAAGACTTGCAACAAGTCTATTTCCATAGTAAAATGCATGAATTCATAAATAGAAGTATATACGTGTATGATTTATATGTGTTGACATGTTATTGTATATATGTATTATATGGTTGATGTGAATATGTGATATGTTATGATGATATAAGAATCTCTTACAAGATATATGATATGAAAATATGATAATGAGCTATGTGAAAGAACTATGAGTTATATGGAAAATATATGCGAACAAGATATGACATCTATGTTTATATGAAACAATGCAAGGTGATATGAGCTGTGTGAGATATGAATATAAAATCATATGAGAAGTGAAAATAATTACATGAAAATAGACTAAGTGATTACATGTATATGTGAAAGAAACTATTTGATACGATCTATGTGATTACATACAACATATGATATTAGATATATGTTTACACATACATGTGGTATGTGATAGAAGAGAAGGAACATGTGATTATGAGATCAATGATTACACGTACATGTGATACGTGACTGAAAAGAAAAGATATGTGTTTATAAGAGAAAGAATATGAATAAGTAATGTGAACTGTTATAAATGATAATGCTCATGTTATGTGATATGAGAGCTAGGGGTATAGTTGGCATGCCAAGGGTCGAGGGTTTACCTATGTTCTTCGGGACATATGGACTGTTTACCTATGTTCTTCGGGACATATGGACTGTTTACCTATGTCCTTCGGGACATATGGACTGATTACCTAGGTTCTTCGGAATCTATGGACTGGTCCTTCGGGACATTGATCGAGCTGTGGTGACAGCATATGTGTGCACAACCTCAATGTACTCACATACCTTAAGTTCTCACTAGTGTACATGGGCTAATAAAGTGATTAAACAAGCATACTGAATGTGATATGTATACGATGGGTTTATAAGTGGTTTGAAATGTGTTACGTGAACCATATGATGTTGTGTGTGTATAGTGTTTGATTGAAAAGGTTAACAATAAAAGTATGTGATTACATGATAAACTGTTAATGATGAATTATGTGTATGTATGTATTTACTGTAATTAATCTGATATGATTTTATATGATACGAAGAATGCATGGAATTGGTATAACATGATAGAACAGAACATGCATGTATTGATATATGTTATGAAGTGCATTATAAGTCGTTATGCCTCACTAAGTCTTCGACTTAGCGTGTGATTGTTTCACACGTAGGTTTCAAGAAGAGTAAAGAGTAATGCGGAGCAAGACAGGTCAGTTTTCCTTACCAAATGTCAGATCAGAAAATATATGTATTGTTTATAGAGTGTAGTTGGCATGTAGTCTAAAGATATAAATTGTATGAACTCTGATACATTTTGTAAACGTTTTGAATAAGTTAAATGTTATCAAAGTTTTTAAATTACTCACTATTTTATATGAATAAATGTTTGAAAAGTCAATGTGACACTTCGGACTCGTATCCGGGTTGGATACGGGTTGGGGGTGTTACAACAAGAGCCTATTAGCATAGGATCTCCCCCAAATGAGGCCACACAAGTAAATAAAGTAATTGGTGGAATTGAGATACTGCAAGATCCTAACAGTACTGATCCATCAATACAAGAGGTTACACAAGTGAATGAAGTAAACTCTGAACCAACTTCTACTGATATTAATGTTGATCTTAAAGTTGCTGAAGCTGCTAACCAAGTGAAACTTCCTAACCATTCTGATCTAATTGAAGAAGATTACTCTTCAGTTCCTAAACGAAGCAGAGGAAGACCTATAAAGGATAAAACAACTTTAGTTGGATCAAAAATAAGTTTGAGGCTCTTAATTCAGTTGATGAAAACTTACCTATTATTGAGGGAAACCAAAAGAAGTCACGCGTTGCTTCTAAGGGAGTAGCTGAAATAGTCAAAGAACTCAAAAAAAAGAAGGAAAAAATGAAAAAATACAAGAGTTCTACAGTTGAGGGTGAATGTCCCACCACGGGAATGCTTTCCCAATGATCATATGTTTCTGGATCATTAGAGGATTTAATAATCCTCTAAAACAAAATAAAGTGCTTCTTAGGGAATCCCAAAACAATGTAGATATTCTTTGCTTACTTGAGACTAGAGTTAAACTTGAAAATCCAAGGACATCATTAATTCCAAATTAGCCAATTGGAATGTCAGTTCTAATTATGAGTTTGTTGTTAATGGAAGAATTTGGGTTCTTTGGAAGAAAAATATGGAGTTAACCACTATTCATGTTACTGATCAAACCTCATCAGTCAAAGTAGAGTTTCTTGGAATCCCTTTTGTTACCTCAACAGTTTATGGAAGTAATTATGGCATCAATAGAAGACAGCTTTGGCATCAGCTGCAAGACTTGGATAGAAAGATAGGTCACTTTCCTTGGATCTTGGGAGGTGACTATAACATTACCCTTCAGCCAAATAAGAGCTCTGATTATGAGCTTCTTTGTCCAGGTTCTACCTCTGAAATGAAAGAATTCCAAGAAGTAACACAGGATTTAGACCTCCATGATCACCCTTTCATAGGTCCTTTATTCACTTAGAGCAACAAACAAGCTAAAACTTATCTTGCAAGGAAACTTGACAGGGTCCTCATTAACTCCAATTGGGTTAATTTCTTCCAAAAATCTTTTGTTGAATTTCTTCCTCCAGGAGTCTCTGATCACTGCATGGCTATCACTTGGCTTTCTAAAGATACTCCCACTAACCGCCCAAAGCCTTTCAAGTTCTTCAATTTTTGGACTTTTCACCCTAATTTTTTGAGAGAGGTTGAAAAGACATGGCATATGACATTCTATGGTAACCCCATGAAGATTCTTTTTCTCAAACTCAAGCATATCAAGTCATGCCTCAAAAATTTAAAACAATTCCTGCTATAGTGACATATCCTCTCGAGTAAAACAAAAGAGACTTGAGCTTGAACATCAGCAACTTCTATCTTTAAAAGGAAAGGAATCATTTGATAAAGAATTGCAAATTCAAAAAGAATTAACCTCCCTTGAAGAAGCATAGCTAATGTTTCTGAAGCAAAAAGCTAAGGTGCAATGGATCAAGGAAGGTGATAAATGTTCTAAATTCTTCCATTCTGCTGTGGCTGTCAAAAATAAGAATGACACTATTCGTATGCTTGTTGATGATCAATGAACTAGACTAGAATCCTTTGACTCCATGGCTGCAGAAGTTCTATCTTTCTTCACTGACCTGATTGGGAAATCTGACCCTAGGGTCAATGACATAGATCAGAAGCTCTTTAAAGATATACTGAATTACTCACTACCTCAAGATTCTGCTTCTAGCCTTGTTAAAAATGTTACCTCAGAGGAGATTAAAGAAGCAATCTTTAGCCAAGGCAATGACAAGGCTTCGGGACCAGATGGATACACTCCATATTTTTTCAAATTTTCATGGTCCATTGTTGGAGATGATGTGATTAAAGGTTATTAAATATTTTTTCTAGCATTCTTCACTTCTTCCTGCCTTTAATGCAACTACCATTGCCTTGATTCCTAAAATTCCTAATCCATGCAAAGTCAAAGATTTCAGGCCAATCTCATGCTGCTCAGTCATTTACAAGGCCATTACTAAGATTTTAGTTAAAATATTGACAAGCCTCATCCCTGGAATGATTTCTCTAAATCAAACTACCTTCATTAAGGGTAGAAGTATTGTTGACAACACACTTCTTACTCAAGAAGTGGTTAAAGGTTATGGAAGGAAAAACATATCCCCAATATGTACTATGAAAATTGACCTTCAAAAAACTTTTGACACTCTTCATTGGAACTTTATCATTGCTATTTTAAAAGGTTTAGACCTCCCTCATAGATTCATTGGCTGGATTGAAGCATGCTTCATAGAACTAATATACTCAATATTTTTCAATGGAAGCTTAATTGGATTCTTCAAAGGCGCAAGAGGCATTAAGCAAGGTGACCCCCTCTCACTTATCCTATTTGTTCTATCTTTGAATGTTTTATCCAGTCTGCTCAATTTAGTTGTTGTTAGAGGACTATTCAATTATCATCCTAAATGTAAACAAATAGGACTTAACCATTTATCCTTTGCTAATGATTTATTGATCTTTTGTAAAGGAAATGTGGAGTCAATTGCAGGTGTTATCATTGTCCTTGAAAAATTCTATGAACTTTCTGGTTTGAACCTTAATGCTGCAAAATGTGTATTCTTTGTTGCTGGTACTTCAACTAGAACTATCAACACTATTAAGCACTTTACTGGATTTAATATTGGATGCTTGCTTGTTTGATATCTCGGAGTTCCTCTTATTACTAGAAAGCTCACAGAGAAAGACTATGAAAACCTTATAGAGAACATTAAATTCAGACTTAATTTGTGGTCTGGTAAACTCCTGAGTTTTACTGGTAGACTTGAGCTCATTAGAGTTGTCATGTTTAGCATAACAAATTATTGGTGCAGACAGCTACTTTTGCCCCCAAGTTGTTATTAACAAGATCGACCAGCTTTGTTCCCACTTCTTCTGGAAAGGAACTGATTTAGCAGCTACATGCCCGAGAGTCAGTTGGGCTAAAATCTGCCAGTTGAAATCCGAGGGAGGTCTTGGACTGAAAAACTTAAAATCTTGGAACCGAGCTTGCATGATTAAACTCATCAAGATTATTCTTGCTGGAGAATGATCTTTATGGGTTGCTTGGATCAAAAAAATATGTTTTAAATGAGAGTAATTTCTGGCATATAGAAGGAGGCTCCAAATTCAGTTGGAGTTTTATCAGATTACTCAAGTTACGCTTAGTACTTTACCAGCCATTTCGAACAGTACCCTTACTATAAGGGATATCTGGCAGGAAATCAGAATGAATGGGGGAAACGTTATTTGGTAACCCTTGAGTTGCTTCCCACTTCATATTCCGAAGCACAACATAATTGCTTGGATGGCTCTTTTTGATCGCATCCCGACTCGAGATCGACTTCAACGTATGGGGATTATTACTACCAGGAACTGTACTCTATGTAACTCAACAATGGAAACACGCTCCCATCTATTCTTTGAATGTCTAATTGCTTATTATCTATTGGAGGCAATATTACTACATAATGGGATAAAGAAAACTATTTCATGCTAGGAAGATATGATCAATTGGCTAGCAACACTTGGAAAAGCAAGTCCCTCATTATAATTATTCTTAAATTAGCTTGGTGTGTTAAAATTTATATTTTATGGGAGGAACGCAACTTAAGAATTTTCCAAGGTCGTACAAGAAAAGCCGAGGATCTTTTTATTTGCATCAAAGACATCATTGGTATCAAATTGAAGGGGAAAATATAAATAGGAATGATAATATCAACACATTCCTTTGTAACTCTTAGGGTATAGATTAAATCGATCTTTTCTTTTGTAAGTAGTTTGTACATATGATCTTGTGATCGGTGATTTTTTGTAGCAGTTCCTGCTTCTTTGGGTAATAAAATTGAATTATCCAAAAAAAAGGGTCGAGAGAAGGAAAAGTAATACGGTGGTGACAAGGATGGCCCAGGTCAGTCTTTCACCCACAAGAACCATCAGGAAAAAAAGGAATATAGGGACAAAAGGCACGTGAGGTTTATTCTTTCCTATATAATGGACCTCATTGGGAAATATAATAAAAAAGGTCATAATCACTCTCATAGAAAAACTAAGTGAGGATGAGCCAAAGGAGATTAACTTCGTTAACTACCTTTCTTATGATGAGTCACAATGGGAGATTTATACAGTTGATCAATTTCATGACCAAACAAATCTAAACCCAAGTCGATGAGAAAGGGGTTCATCCACGTTAAAGTGAGAATCAATGGGAAGAAGACTCGACTATCGTAAACAAGGGTCATACCTAACACTTTCTCTCAGTAGAGGAGGTAAATACACTATATAACCCAAATAATCACAAATCTAAGTGGGAGTCGACGACGCACAAGAGCCTTGACATGACCTTGCATTACTAACTCGATCATTCTTTCATGCAAGACAAAATTTCCTTTAATCGAAGAGTGAGACTCACTAGTCAAATGAACCAAGACATGTGGAATAGAACTAGAGACTAGGGTCCAGAACCTTCTATACAAGACCAATTGAAGGCACTATAATCCCTCTTTCAAACAATATTAAGCAATGGCTATAAGTAAGCATATGTACTTCTCTACGTAGGCCCATCGTTTAGAGCTCGATTTCAATCTTTTGAATCTTAGACCCATTACACGCACTAGATGACCTTGCCAAAAATCTTGACTTGAGACTACGAGACTAAGGACTTCATCTCAAAAGAGTGATATTTCTTTGGGCGTCCGTCTAGTACTTCTCCAATAAGCATGTCTTAGGTACAACTAAATAATAATAGATAAGTTACGTTTTCACCTTTCCTATAGGTGATAAAGTCCTATTTGTTGAGCTCGATCGATCAACTAAAAAATAGCCAAGAGGGGGTAAATTGGCCTTTAAAAATCTTTGGTGTGGAAGCAATAAAATATAGAAAAATTGGTACAACGATATATAGTGGTTCCACTTCTCAACCAAGTCTACATCCACTATCTTAACTCTATACTAAGGATTTTCTAACAGATTCACTAATTTGTTCTTTCTTTCTCTAGGCTCAAGGGTAACCTTTACAATTCTCTAGTTTTTCAAGGCTAAACTAAGAACCACTCCCCCTTTTCAACAAATGATAGCTTATATAAACAAGAAGGCCTCTCTAGGTAGGTGTTTGCAAAGATTAAGCTCATAAAAATGGATACAAAAGATATACAATTAAGATTTATATATTATGTACAAGAGAAAAATTAAGTAAATAAGAATGAAAACTCTTTTCTATTGATATCTAAGCTTGGATAGGTGTAGTCACCTTCTTTAAGTGTCCTTGGGTTATTTTTATATGATGGAATGAGCTTGTGGTCGTTTATATCCATTGGGGATGTTTTAGAGTCGTTGGAAGACTTTAATCCCATCAATTTTAGCATTTTGCAAAGTGGTTTCGAAACCACTAGACACGTTTCGAAACCCTCTTGATAAAATATGATAGGTAGAATAGGGTTTTTGAAACTAGATAGGGCATTTTGAAAACAAGGTTTAGAAACCAATCAAGGGGTTTCAAAACCAGGTATATAAGGGTTTCAAAACCAGAAAAGGGGGTTTCAAAAACATGCCAATTTTTTTGAAACTTTGAGCATTCTTCCTTAGAGGTTTCGAAACCTTACACCAAAAATTGAATATTTTAACTTATTTTAAGTTTCTAAACATGCTTTAAGGTGTAAATCAAGTTAAAAATACTTGGAAAATATTTTTCAAGTTATGTGGACTTCGAATTATATTTTAAACATTTGAACAAATTCAATTAAGTACAAAAATATTTTACCCTTATTGTTATATCAAAATATAGGTTCAACACCACCCTTATTGATGACTTGGGTCAATACTGTTGAGTTAATTGATCGGATGAATCGGCTAAGAGGGGGTGAATTGACAATTAAAATTTCAGTGGAAGCTTTGATAAAAAATTGAAAATATTTGCACAACGATTTAGAGTGGTTCGACTTTCTCAACTAAAGTCTACGTCCACTACCTTAGCAATCCACACTAAATATTTTCAATAAATTCACTAATTTGTCTTTCTTTTAAGGACAAAGAGTAACCTTACAACTCCCTCAAGAATTATACCCCAAATTCTTAAGAACACTCTCTCCCAAAGAGAAAATTACAAACTTTGTAAACCTACAGAAAAACATCGCAAGGTAGAATGTTTTCACAATTCTAGAACAAAGAAAGAACACTCAAAGATAAATACAATTGAGCATAAAGTGTGTTCTTGAAAGCAAAATGAATATTGAAAGGATTTTGGCTTGAATTGCTCAAATTTGAGGTTTGATGCTTACTCTCTTGTTTCTATCTCAATTCTTGTGTAATTCTTCATCACCAATGGCTTCAGAACTTGTTTAAATACACCTCAAATGAATTCTGAACGTTAGGAATCTTGGTGAAGTCAATAGAACCGTTGTGGTCTGAAATATACTTCAAGAAGGTTTTGGGAGCGTACGGGTATCAGTACTCCTTCATAGGGGTATCGATACTACCTGTATAAATTCAAATATTTCGACCATTGCAAAACCAAAGGTATTGGTACCTCTTAAGGGGGTATCGATAATACTATGTAAAGAGATATCGATACCTGTCATGGTATCAAAACCCATTTTGCATTATGTTATTTCTCGGAGTCAAAATCAAAAGACGTGGTATCGGTACCTTTGGCTAGTTATCGATACTACTTTATATAATGGTATAGATACCTGTATGGTATCAGTACCTCTTTTGCATTCGATGTTTGAGGGGTATCGGTACTTCCCTATTTAAAAATCAATTTTGACTCGATTATGGTTCGAAATACTTTGTAAAAATTATTTCAAAAATACTTTAAGAGTGAAACGCAATTTTTCATTTAAGTAAGGAGTAAAATTGATATTTGAAATTGGAGTAATATTTGTGATATTCAAATAATTAAATTGAATATAATATTTAAATTGAATATAAAATCTTAAAATTCATTAACACTTTATTTGTTATATTGAAACATCAAAATGTTTTCAACAATCTCCCCCTTTTTGATATAACAAATAATTTTTGAAATTTTAAGATTTTCTTTTAAAAAATCATTTTTTCGAAAAATTACTTTTTGAAAAATTACTCCCACTCCCCCTTACTATATTCTCCCCCTTTTTGTTAAATAAAAAAGACTACATAAATCTTAAACAAGTTTTCCAAATTGATGTATATATATGTATATAGTTGCTAAGATCAAAGTCAAGAGAAATATTAGCCATTAGTACATATAATCAATATTCATAAACAATATGTGATAGGAATTGATCATAATTGATCTAAAATGTAAACGATGCATAATCTAACATAAAATTTAATTGAAGTTCAAAATATTAATAATCATTCATAATATCTCAAACAAACCACACCAAAAATCCAAAAAACAACCAAATATTCAAACATCCAAATCATCAAAATGTTTAAACAATAGAAGGTTCAAAGTTCAATTTAAGAAAACTAGCAAGAGTGGTCAATCATCCGTATGAGGATCAAGATCAAATTGATGTCCTTTAAGGAAATCAACATCGCGGGTTAGTGCATCGAGTCTCTCATCTATAGCATTGAATCGAATATCCATTCCTTCACGTTGAGCTCAAATTTCCCTTTGATTCTCCAACTGTTGAGTTCCCATAGCAGTCAAATGGGACTTAAGGATACGAACCTTAAATCCAATGTCTCCATAAAAGACTAAAAGTATGGAGTCATTGAATTGTCTTGTCTGGATAGCTCATCCTCGGTATGGTTTACGAGATCATCGACATCCCATAAGAGGTCTTCAAGCTCTTGAGCCAGAGCCGGAGCAGCTTGTGAAGAGTTAGCACTGGGGGTTTTCTTTGTTGATCGAACCCATTGGTCTTTGTCTCTAGTCCATCCTGATTTTCGTAAAGATGTTTTGTTGATTTCTATGGTTAAATGGATGGCTACGTCTAATTCTACCTTAAGACCAGCTTTCATAAACATATTACTAAGTAGACAACCGTAAACTAATGTTTCAACACGTTTAGAAGGAATATTGTTTACGGTTTCTACGAGTTCCCCAAAGATAATTTGAGGAAAAATATTTTCATATTTTGTTGGATACAATGTATCCACCATAAGTCAAGAGCTCTAAGAGTGGATTATTTTCCTCCAGATGGTCTAAACCACCAAAAGATGATAAGATGAAGAAAACGTTCGTGATAATCTAAAACACTCGTACTAGACTTGAATTTATAAAGGGTAGGTACTAAATCTCACTCATTATCTAACCTTCGATTATCTAGACCAAATGCGTTAGCTATATAGTTTGAGTCTATAATGATGTATTGCCCCAAGAGATAGAAGTGAATACTTTTTGGTTGCGGTTTGGGACTCATTTTGTACACACACCGCATTGGAGTAGAAAATACGAACTAGTTGGTGATAAATAACTGGTTCAATCTTAAAAAGTTTATCAAATTTCCATGATTTGAGGGTACGGAGGTATTTGAATATCATCTCTTCCATATCTTTGAGAGACGAGATACGCTCTTCCCTAATGTTATATGACTCGAAATGATTTACGTACCTAGAGTAGAGACTTCTACGGTTAGGTTCGTTAAAGCAGCAGTTTAGAATGGCCATCTCGGGTTCATTTGGGATAGGATTTTGTGGTGGAATATGAGGTGAGTTTGGAGGTGGGTTTGATCGACTAGAAGATGACCTAGCTAGTTTAGACATGGTTTAGGAAATCGGAATGGTAAACTTACAATTAAACAACATATGTATGCAACACAATTAATCCAAAACTCAATATGAGTCTTTAATATTTAAGTTTCTCTAACTTAGTGTCTAATAGGCAAAATTGAAAACTATTTTGAAAACGAAATTTGAAAAATCATAACATGTATAGTTTTCATGAAAATAATATAATTAGATAAAAAAATCATTTAAAACCAAAATATTTTCTTATTTCGAAATTTAAAAAAATTGTAAAAATAGTGTTTTTGATAAAATTTCTTGTAGATTCTAGTGTAAAACCATAATATACTAAATGCCCGATCACTAATTTGAACTAGAACTAACTAAAACTAATCCTATGTTCAAAAATCAATGAAATAGTATTCTAGAAAAGTTTACCTTGAAAAATCGGATTGAGATGGAATGTGGTGTTGTTTGCACGATTTTAATTATACTAGCAGGATTTGGAGTTGAAGAATGAATGAAATCCGACTTGAACTTGTTGATTTGAGCAAAATGGAGAGTTTGGGGTTGAGAGGAAGTGAACGGTGGGAGTGTTTGTAAAATAAGGGTTTTGGTAAAATTATGATTTATAGGGATTTTAAAGCCTAAACCCGACAGGGGGTATCAGTACCCCTCGAGGGGTATCGATACACATTCAAGGAGAGTATCGATACTGCGTGAATAGTATCGATACCCATTGAATCAGTATCGATATTATGCTAGTAGTATCTATATGTAGCAAGAGAGATATCGGTACTGGATGACCAGTATCGATACCGAATGCACAAAATTGTCAAAAATATGCATTTAAACACTTTGCATGCTAAATTAATCAGCTCTAGTGGTATTGGCAACTCATATTTTAAAAATTAACTATGTTCAATCAATCAAATCTACCCTTAAATTTGAACATATTATTAATTTTCACTAAAGATCATAAACTCCCCTAACTATTAGCATAGAAGGCATTAAAAATGTTATTTTTACATGCATTTTTCTTTAATCATTAAAAGTGCTAACACAAAATCAAGGTAGGTTGGTTAAACCTAATTCTCTCCTAAGTGTCCAAAATCTCTCTTTCTCTAAAGGTTTTGTAAAAATATCTGCTAATTGATGCAAAGTATCTACAAATTCTATAACTACATCTCCTTTTGTGACATGATCTCTAATGAAATGATGTCTAATTTCAATGTGCTTAATTTTAGAGTGCTGGATGGGATTTGTAGAGAGACAAATAGCACTAGTATTGTCACACTTTATAGGTATGATACCAACTTCAATTCCATAGTCTAAAAGTTGTTGTTTCATCCATAAAACTTGTGCACAACAACTACCAGCTAAAACGTATTATGCTTCAGTGGTAGATAATGCAACACTATTTTGTTTCTTTGAAAACCAAGAAATCAACATATTTTCTAGGAATTGACAAGTATCATAGGTGCTCTTCCTATCTATTTTACATCCTCCATAATCCACATCCAAGAAGGCATACAAGCTAAAGCTAGAGTCTCTATGATACCAAAGTCCTATACTAGGAGTGTCCTTAAGGTATCTAAAGATTCTCTTAATGGCTTGTAAATGTGATTCCTTAGGGCATGATTGAAATCTAGCACATAAACAAACACTAAACATAATGTTCGGTCTACTTGTGGTTAGATAAAGTAAAGAACTAATCATTGACCTATATAATTTAACATCGATACATTTACCTCCTTCATCTTTGTCAAGATTTGTAGAGGAACTCATAGGAGTGGTTTGGGGTTTCATATTCTCCAATCCAAACTTTTTGAGCATATCTTGAATGTACTTTGCTTGATTAATGAAGATGTCATCTTTCCTTTTCTTGATTTGGAGCCCAAGAAAAATTAAAGCTCCCCCATCATGCTCATCTCAAATTCACTTTGCATTAGTTTAGAAAATTCTTGGCAAAGAGCATCATTAGTAGAACCAAATATTATATCATCAACATAAATTTGAACTACGAATAAATCTTTACCTTTTCTTTTTATAAACAATGTAGTGTCAACCCTCCCTTTTGAAAAACCTTTTTCAATTAAAAATTTTGACAATCTTTCATACCAAGCTCTAGGTGTTTTTAAACCATATAGTGCTTTTGTCAATTTAAAAACATGATTTGAAAATTTTGAATCTTCAAATCCAGGAGGTTGTTCCACATACACGTCTTCTTTTATAAAACCATTTAAAAATGCACTTTTAACATCCATTTGATATAATTTAAATTTATTGAAACATGCAAATGCCAACAACATTCTAATTACTTCCATCCTAGCTACAGGAGCATATGTTTAATCATAATCAATTCCTTCTTCTTGAGTATACCCTTGAGAAACAAGTCTAGCCTTGTTCCTCACTATATTACCACTTTCATCTAGCTTGTTCCTAAACACTCGTTTAGTACCTATAGTAGATTTATCACTAGGCCTTTCAACTAATGTCCATAATTTAATTCTCTCAAATTGATTTAACTCTTCTTGCATAGACATAATCCAATTTTCATCGGTTAATGCTTCTTTAACATTTTTAGGCTCTATGCATGAGATAAATGCAACATAATTACAAATGTCCCTAAGAGAAGATCGAGTAGTTACCCCTTTTGATGGATCACCTAAAATCTCACTATCCTTGACATAGTTGTACTCTCTTGGATATGTGATTTCCATTTGTTCAATTGCTAGATTCTTGAAGGCATCTTGAATTTCCTCATCCTTCACTTCTTCCTTTGATGATGGTTCTCCAACTTCATTTGCATTTATAATACCTACGCCATCATCAACACAAGAATCCTTCATTGAAAGGGGAATATCATGGAAAACAACATGGATAGACTCTTATACCACTAAAGTTCTTTTATTAAATACACGATAAGCTTTAGAATTTAAGGAATAACCCAAAAAAAATCCTTCATCACTTTTAGCATAGAATTTGCTAAGATTGTTTTTACCGTTGTTTAAAACAAAACATTTACATCCAAAAGGATGAAAATAGCTAATGTTAGGCTTTTTATTTTTGAAAATTTCATATGGAGTTTTCTTTAAAATAGGCTTAATCATTACTCGATTAATAACATAACAAGCGGTATTTATGGCTTCCGTCTAAAAATATTTTGGCAAATTGTTTTCACAAAGCATGGTTCTAGCCATTTCTTCTAAAGTTTGATTTTTTCTCTCAACAACCCCATTTTGTTGAGGGGTACTAGGTGCTGAAAATTATGGCTAATCCCAGTTGAATTACAGAAATCAGTAAATCCAAGATTTTCAAATTCAGTACCATGACCACTCCTAACACTTGAAATGGAGTAACCTTTTTCATTTTGGATTACTTTTGAAAACTTGATAAAATTTTCTAATGCTTCATCTATAGTACTTAAAAATAGAACCCAAGTATATCTAGAGTAGTCATCTACCAATACAAAGGCATATTGTTTTCCACCCAAGCTAGTAGTTCTAATTGGCCCAAAAAGATCTATATGGATCAATTGTAATATTATACTAGTTGATACATCATTAATGAATTAAAGGAAACTTTCTTATGTTTACCTTTTGTACATGCATCACAGATTTTATCTTTATCAAATTTTAGCTTTGGCAACCCTCTTACTAAATCACCTTGAATTAGTATTTGCAAAACACTCATGCTTGTATGTCCTAGTCTCCTAAGCCATAACCAACTATCATGTTTATCCTTAGCAACTAGGCACAAATTAGTCATATTAATAGAACCTAATTGCACAATATAAATGTTTCATATTCTATTACCAATAAGCATAATTCGATTAGATGCAATGTCAACAACTTTACAACCATTTGTTTCAAACAAGACATTGAATCCTTTATCACACAATTGACTAATACTTATTAGATTATGCTTTAACCCATTCACATATAACACATTTTCTATTTGTATGGAAGATGTATTACCTATAATATATATACCTTCAATGTAACCTTTTGAGTTGTCACCAAAGGTTACCACTCCTCCATTTTTGTCGTTAAGTTTAGTAAACCAGCTCTTGTCTTTAGTCATATGTCTCGAGCATCCACTGTAGGTACCATGAATTTGAGCTTGCATTTCGTGCCTTGAAGTAATGCTCCTTTTCCTGAGAATCCTCCCCAAAGGTCGTCAAGTACAAGTTCACTACTTCTTGTTCCTCTTCATCGGATGATTCGTCATCTCTCCGAGTAGCCATGTGTGCTTTATGCTTCTTCTTTGAAAGACCCTTCTTCTTCAATTGTGGGCAATCGTATTTAACATGCCCATGCTTTTTGCATTTATAGAAAATCATTGGGTCCTTCTCCTTTGACTCATTTTTGAAGCCTTCATTTCGTTGGAATTTTCTTCCTCTATTTGGCTTCATTAATTTTCTGAGTCTTCTAGAAAGCAAGGCCATTTCTTCATCTTCGTTATCGTCAGAGTCACTCTCATCTTTGGTAGATTTGAGAGAAACACTAACAATATTCTTTTTCTCTGTCTCCTTCTTTGTCTCGTCATTCTTCTCATGATTTACCTCATCTTGAATCATCATTTCATGAGTGAGGAGAGAACCAATGATCTCATCAAAAGTTAAATACTTTAGGTCTTTAGCTTCGATAATCACAGTCTTCTTCGATTACCAAGCTTTTGGAAGAGAATAAATTATCTTCCTCACAAGTTTCTCGTTAGGGATTATTTCTCCAAACGCTTTGAGGCCATTGACAATCACTGAGAATCTATCCGTCATAGCTTCGATATCTTCATCTAGTTTCATCTTGAAATTTTCATAGCTATGAGTAAGAAGACTAATTTTGGATTCTTTTACCTCATTGGTTCCTTCATATGTGACTTGAAGTTTGTCCCATATCTCCTTAACCGTTAAACAAGATGATATTCTCTCGTATTCATCTGGTCCAAGTGCACAGAAAAGAATATGGATAGCTTTTGAGTTGATCTGGAATAATATA